TCTCCTTGCCTGTGAACAGCAAGGCAAAGGTTTCCTGTCACAGCCCCTGGGGAGCCGGGCCTTTCGGGCAGGTGTGTCTCTGAAACACCAAAACTCACTGAAGCACGGGGGTCACGGTGGGACAATATTTCTGCCGGCACCTCTGAAGTAAGGTCCTTCAAAACCTAAGTGTTTAACGTTTATGTTTCTGTGACACTCTCCTCACATAGAGGGTACCACGGACGGGATGGGTGTATAGGAATGTGGCGAAGCCAGAGAGCGTATCGGATCATATGTACAGGATGGCAATGATGGCTTTGGTGACTGAAGACAAAAGCCTTAACAAGGACAGGTGAGACTGCCTCTGGTTATCATGACTATCTGTTAATGTCATGGGAAACCTGCAACCAAAATGCTTAAAATAGCTGTCCTCCTGATGAGGAAGAGCTTTTAAAACGGGCTGAAGTAGTCTGAAATTCTTTCCCCTCTTCTTTTTCCTTCATCCTTTGGACAGGGTGATATTTACCTGGAGAGCTGAAAGGAACTAAAGAGTTTTTTTATTTTTTCTTCTCTTCTAAATTCCAGGTGTTTTGGCAAGTCGTTAATGCAGAGGCCCAGAGCTGGCCTTTGCTCAATCCATAAGTAAGCAAACTGAAGACACTCAGTTAAAACACAGTTTGAAGCATCAGACAGCAAAGGCAAAGCCATACACTATGTGGATTTTGACAGACTTAGTTAGCACTTGGCAGCAGTAAGGAGCCTCAAGTCATACACCGTTGAAGAGGAAGCATCATTAGTGTGAATGAGTTGTGAAGTCTGGTATGGAATTGTGCTTGCTTTGTCCCTTCAGGAGCTGATGAGAATGCTGAAGGCTTTTTGAGTATTCTGTTGCAGACTGACATAGCTACAGAGCTGTGAGTGTCAGACTGTATCCTGAATTTGGGATGGCTCCAGTCAGATTACCTTCTACCTGTTGCAGCATTAATGTGAAGTGTATAATGTAATTAGTTATCCAAACATCTCCAAAAGTCAAATGTCCAAAAGCTAAGTACATTATTTTTGAATGTGATGCTCTTTTACAAACTGCATTTATACTTGAATCAACTTTACAAGCAGCAGTAGCTAGAAATTGGGAATTAAAATCGTGTTGAGGTGGAAACTACTTCCCTTAGCAAGGAACTGGAACGTGTTATGTAAAACTAAAAACCCTCACCCTGTAAAATGCACAAAGGGGATAAATTATGCAGTCTTTTAGCTTTATGAATAACACGATAAAACTTTAAATGCTGAAAACCTAATTGCTGTCTCTTTGATTCATGTCAGATGCATACGATTAGCTTTGGTTCACGATATGGCTGAATGCATCGTTGGAGATATTGCTCCTGCAGATAATATCTCGAAAGAGGAGAAACACAGGAGAGAAGAGGTATGGACATAAGGCATGAAGCCACACATGCAAAGTGTTCTACATGTTTTTAATGTTCTGATGGTAGCGAAGAGACCCTTTTAAGGAACATAATACTGTCATTGGCAGTGGACAAGTATGCCACAACCAAAGTTTTCAACTTGTGATTTTTGTACGTTACATCACCAAGTACAAAGTTAGGAAGGAGAACCTTTGAAATAATCTTTTTTTGCCATTTATTTCTGAACTAGCTGGATTTTTGGTAGCCTGAATTTGTCATGTTGACCAGCCTCGCCAGGAGGTAGGGAGCAGGGAGTAGGCGCACTGAGGAGGGTGGATGACAGTTCGTGGCACATCATTTGTGTGGTGCCAAATTGTGTGGTTGTGACAGAGACTTTATTTAAACCATTTGCGCTGTACTCCAGACACAGGTCATGAGTGCGGTGTGCCTGGATTTATTTTGTTTTTGGCCTTGTACATATCCAAACTGTTGGTTTGTCCTTTCTGGTTTGCTGCATTATTTGAAGAAAGTGTAAAGTGCTCCTCCAGCCACAGCTAGAGGGCAACGTGATGCCTCAGAAACTCATTAGAGACTACAGTTAGCTCTTCAAAGAGTATAAAAAATGTTGCAGTGATTATTTTCTTCCTACCCACTTTTATGCTTCTCTGTTTAAAACCTGGGGTTGGGAGGGGGCTGTGACGAGCTCTTGGAGTAATTTCTTTGCAAAGAAGGTGGAAATTAAAGATCAAAGAGATATTCAGCATTCTTCAAGTGCTTTCTTTACTGACTGCAGTTTTGGTATATTTGTTTTTCAGTGCACTTCCTAGTGCTTTCTTACACTAAACAAAAAACCCTCTTTCCTGGAAGCCTCCAAAGGCTGTTTGGTCACTGAGGATCAGGTTTCAACTTTACCTGGAGGGAATTCTGACTTGTACTTAGGCAATGAAAAAGGTATTTTGATGGCTGAAATTTTAAGAAGTTTTCTTAAGTATTTGCAGCTCCTTCTGTTCCCGTTTCACTCAGCAAAGACTGTGCTGTTGATTTTGTGGGAAGAAAGCTCAAGCATTAAACATTTAGGCTGACTCTGAAATACTTTGTTGAAAAAAATACACCAAGGGTAACGGTTTCATGAGATAGCTTGAGCTGAATTATCAATACGCTGCTTCCGCTGTAAACTTCTCCTTTTTTCCTCCTTTGATCCACAGCTGATGTTTGGACGTTTGCTGCTTGTGCAGTAAATTTGATCAGTTAATCTCACTAAGGCTAAGGCAGCAGAAAATGAACTTGATTTTTAAAAGTTTGTTTGTTTTTTTTCTTTGAGGTAGTTTGGTGGTTTTGGTTTGGGGTTTTTTGAGGTTTTTTTTGCTAGGTAAGTCACTGTGGCGTGCTAACCTTGAAATCTGATGAGCTTCAGAGCTTGAAGGAGGTGGAAAAGACCGAGACCCTGTTGCTTCAGCGGTGAGGAGCAGCTGATTCAATACAGCCACACTGTGAAACTATACCTTGTATTTGAAGCAGGGAAACAATCATGGCACAAAACCTTTGTCTTTCCTGTGATGTTGGTAGTTTCGGAAGCAGCCCTTAGTGTTACTAGGAAAACAGTAGAAATGACACAGAAATGAGACTGATCAGCTGGGAGAGCATGGAGAGTGTGCAGAACTACTTCTGCTTGCTGGTTACACCATCAGTTTGATAATGTGTTAAACCTTGTAACGAGATTTTTGTTGTTGAACAAATGGTATCTCAGTCTGGGAGCACTGTGTTTTATTGCTGGAGGGTATTAAATAGATTATTTTTCCTCTGTTTTCCAAAATTGGAGATTTTTAAAGGCTTGTGTTGCCTGCCTGACAGTCAATAGCTGTTCTCAGTGGAAATGTGCTAGTTGAGTGTTTCGGAGGGGGCAGTTGCTTGTCAACACTGGGAGTTAGCATTTTGAAGCTGCTTTTATGAACTGACCTATAACCTATGAAGTTCAAATGCTGCCTCCACTAGTTAAATCTGGAAGCCAGAGCTGATAATTGATAGCAGTTCCCTGGCATTTGACTTTCCTCTTTTGCTTTGGGCTTCTTTTTGCACTCTTAAAGATACTGGATACACTTTTGGATTGTTTTTCTTGTGTTTTAGACTAGTTCTCTAACAGTTTACTTAAGCAGCTCTTAGAAAAGATTCTTCACTGAGTGGTCCTAGTGTTTCTCTGGCAGATTTATTAACATGTGCATAGAATAATATCCTGTGTAGTGTAGGTTTCTAGAAACTTGGTAACAAGTAGTTAAATCTTAAAGAAAGATGATTCACATGTGCTTGCTCAAAAAATGGATAAATGGAAATGGGTTCTCTTTTTTTAATTTTTTTTTCAGGCAGCGATGCAACAACTGACCCAGCTTCTATCAGAGGACCTCAGAAAAGAAATCTACGGACTTTGGGAAGTAAGTGTGCATTCTTGTTATCCTTTGCTAAAATTCAGGAGGACCCATTGTCCACTTCCTGTTTACCTGTGAAACTGTGCCATCTCTTATTTTGACCTCAAGCACGGTAGTTTAATTTCCTTGGGAGATAAAGCTAACAGTGTGAGTCAGGGTCACTTTGGAGTCCTTTTACCAAAGTTTGGGGTTTCTTTTTGAAAATAACCAGCAACTGCGTTTGGCCTCTCGAAGTTCCAGATGAACCTGTCCGAGGCTTGGTTTGTACAACTGAAAGGAGAATTTGTCCTCTGTATCCAGCCCTCTTGGATTTAAATCTGTTTGGGATTTTTTGATACTGTTGTTGTTTTGTGGTGGTGGTGTTTTTTTCTACTACGTTATCTCTAGTTCACATCTGGCCATTTGCAGCTCATGATCGTGTGATACAGGAAAAAAAATAAAGGGAATTGAATGCTGTGGAGTATTTTCTTCTTTTTTTGCAAGTAATAATTTATGTGGCTTCCTTTTCTTTATTATACAGCCCATTAGGTGAAGATATTTAGTAATAACTTCTGGCTTAAATTTAAATGTGGTGTACTGACACAGAAGAGTGCTTTTCTACAAACAGCATGGATTATTGGCTGGTCTTGGGCACTCTTAAATGTTTGTATTGAAAAGTATCTTCTGCTTTTGTACTAGTACTTGAAAACTAGGGACTGTCAGATTATTTCCAAACAATTCAAGTTTATAATTACAGTTGCATGAGGACAAGTGCATCCACAGTCTCTTGTTCATGTGTTGTTGCAAAAAAAGCATTGTGTTTCTTGGACTCTTTGACATGCAATTGTATTTTATGTTGATATTCTTACTTTTCCACTTGGCTTGTATTTAAATTGCAGATATTTGCAGCTAGTTTCTGCCTTTAGTTACAGCACCCTGTTTGTCTGGTTGTTTTTTTTCTTTCTGTAGTTGTGTGGTGAAATGGCAACAGGGATGGGTTTTCAGTGCTATAATTCAAGGTAAAGGGGGTAAACCAGCATAACCAGATCTGGGAAATAATGTGTGTGCGCATTTGTTTAGACAGCACTGGTTCCTTCTCCCTTGGGAAGCTGTTACAATTGAGGAAAAGGGCCTTTTGATAGATAAGGTTAGTCCTGGAGGACTCTCTTTTCACATATTTTTTTGTTTTCTTTGCCTCGGTCTTCTCTTACGATTGTATAAGAGCTGTTCAGTATGCAGTTAGTTCTTCAGCTTTTTATCATTCACAATAACCATAATTTAACATGTGCACACTTTTGGTCAGTTGTTTTTTGTATCTACCTTTAGGATAATTTTTTGGCATCGAGTCTCTAGCAGTATAAATGTAACCCACATAGCAGCGGGCATAACCTAAAAATCCAATATTTGCATATAGTCCCTCTGGTTTTATTTTAAGCAGAATAACTAGGTGTTGCTTAAAAAAAAAAAAAAAGAAAAAGGCAGAAAATGAGAAGCCTTTGATCACTTGGTGTGATCCTCTGCTCTCAGCTAGCCAGAGGCATTTGCCTCTGATTTCTTTATTTTTTGGTGAGTGAAGGAAGTTATGGCCCAGAGCTGAACAGTGTCGGGACAGGATCTTGTTAGCAAGTCCTTCTGGCACTGCTCTGCCCTCGTCTCTGCCCCTCTTTCCCTTTCAGCCTTACGAGGACTCTTGCTTTTGACTGTACTGGTGGGCGCTCTGCAAGCGTAGCACAGGGGAGAAAGGTGGCAGAAAGAGGGGTCCAATGTGTTTTCACTTTATAACTTAATCTAGAATATATTTGAAAAAAAATTACAGTAAATGAGTCAGCACACTTCAGCTCTGTCCTGCTTTTTTGCTTTCAAGAGCAAAAGCACAGGAGTAATTTTTAAAGCCAGCCTGTGGTGTTTGAGAGACCAGTTACTGTTTTTCCAAAGTATGCTGTTATTTCGCACTCTTAAACACCTATGGGGAGGAAACAGTAAGTGTTTATTTCGGCACTGTGCACAGTTGCACACATAATAGCTGATGTTTGTTAAGGTTAATGTGAGCTGAGGTATGAAAAAGAACTGATGGGTTGTGTGGCACGGAGAGGTTGGTAACAGATTGACACTCCCAATTAATTGCTGGAGGTGGGATGGACCTTTAGAAGCAAACAGCCAAACTTCTCCTCAAGTTCTCCTCTGTAGTGCTGCCAAGAATTTGTTCTCTTTAATGGCCAAATAAAAGTGTAGAAATAAATAGATTTAAGAAAATAAGGAGTATTTAAATAATTTAAAGATGAGACAAAGCTCATCTTGAACGGAGGAAATGAAGGTAAAAATGTTGAAATTAAATAGATTGCTAAAATAGTGATCAAAATGTAATTGAAAATTCAAAGCATCGTTCAAATCCAAATAGAGTAGTATATGAATCACTCATGGCTATAAAAATCTGGAGTTCTGACTTTCAAAGGTAAAGCAATAAGCATAAGAATAAGCAGGCTCCTATGAGTATGCCAGACAAAGAAATGACCATGACACTCATCTGAGCATCCCTGTGCTGGAATTACAACCCAGGATCTTGCCACTGTGAATGACACCCACAGTTGTCTTCCTGAGATGCAGAAAGAGATGCTGCGTTCTTTGGTCAGTAGGAAAAAGTCTTCCTGTGCTTGTGCTGCTCTCACCTGCAGAACTGCTGTGTGTCACGGATTGTGTGGGTCTGAGAGCACAAATTGCTGTGCACTTAGGCCTCTGGTCTGATTATTGGTGGTGGTGATGCTCAGTGGGATCAGACCTGCTGAAGGTATCAAGGTTATGGTGACCTGCACAGAAAGAAGATGTTTTCTGTGGTTGGTTTTGGAAACCAGGAGAAGACCAGCTGATGAGGCATCAAATACAGCACAGTAGGTTTGGAAAAGGGAAGATAAAATGGCAAACTTGTCTGCAGCCATCACGGGAAGCAAATAACAGCAACGTTGTTCAAGTTTACTAGAAATGTGAATGACTCACAAATATGTACTGAGGATGACTGAAGAGAGGGAAAAGATAGCAGACAGATTAAAGGACTTAAAGTCTGAAGGGGAGGAAACCCCTCAATGAGTCCCCTCCCTCTCTCCTAGGAGAGACACAAAGACATAAGCAGCTCAGACAGATTAGACCAAAGAGATTAGGAGGGAGTGACAGGAGAAATGTAAAGAACAATTCCTCATGAAAACAGCAAGGGGTGGAGAAAAGTGCAAAACAGGTCTTAAAAACAGGTAACGGTAATGCATAGGCTCACACTATGGTAATTCATAGCCCTAGCCAGGCATGAAAAAGTCTTATATAAAATGTTGTTAAATGGAATCTAATATTTAACTTTTATTTTGTGTAGTGTTGTCTCCATATCACCCCTGATTCAGCTGAAACACTTGGTATGTTTTTAAGTTAGCGTTTGCAAAAGAATTGTGTCCTTGATTCTTATTACACTTAATAGAAATTTGCCACGTCCTATTTCAAGCGTTTTGCCGAATAGCAGTCTTAAAAAAGAGTGAATGACGTAACTGTCCTGAATATTTATGGACTGGCTCGTACTAGTAAAGAAAATTCTAGATAGTTAAAAAGCTTCTAATACTCTGTTTCAGAACAACACATTTTCTTTCTTATAACTGCAAATCTGTGCAGGAATATGAAAACCAATGTACTGCAGAAGCCAGGTTTGTAAAACAGTTGGATCAGTGTGAGATGGTACTGCAAGCATTTGAGTATGAAGAGTTGGAAAACACACCTGGCAGACTGCAGGATTTTTACGATTCAACTGCTGGTATGGCATTTGGGCTTTCCCCCCCCTTTTTTCTTTTGTAAATGAAATCTATAAATTGCCTTTTTTTTCTGATATACCTTCAGAGCAAGTGAGAGCTAGTTATTTTTACCCTAACTGTTTTTGGGGAAACTTACTACAGTGTGTACAGACCTTACATTATTTGTATGTATTGAGCCTGAATCTCATTTACACCGAATTCCTTTTACATCGCTTTGGATATCTAGAGAGAGGCCCAGCTTTTATTACACTTGCATGTGTTTAAGGATCTCCCTGTACCAACAGAGGGAGGCTTCATTCTTCACTGATGCTCTGACAGCAGCTTGTTTGTTTCTTAGTGTTTCACGAACCAGTGAAGTAGAATTTGTTATCCCTATGTCAGTGGCATGGTCTTCTGTGATCTGTGCAAGGTACAGATCCAAGAGAACCAGCTCAGCAAAATGTTTTAGGTGCAATTGTATGATAGCGGAAAGGAAAAATAGGTAAAATAACAGTCTTTATTTTAGCAAGGGAGTTGAACACTGGAAGAGGACTGTGACTCAAGTCATCCTATCCTGGGAAAAAGCTAGGGACAGACAGACTCCAGGAGAGGACCAGCAATCACCACAGCCCCTGAGAAGCCCCTGAGAAGTCCCATTTATACTTTGGGGACTCCTCATGGAAATAATACACTCTCTGAAAAGTGCAATAATTTGATTAGAGAAGGGAAAAAAAAAAAAGGACACCACCAGCATAGCTGGAATACTTAATTTTCTCATTGACATCTTTGTCTTCCTACTAGAACTCAGGAACTTAAAACTAAGCTGGTGTCTCAGTGGAGCCTAGAGCATGTACCCTATGTGTTCCTATAACTTGGGTGGTTGCTTGTAGCTAAGCTAGGTACATAGCATGGGATTGGCCTGGTCAAGGTGCATCCTTTTTTCAGCTCTTGATTCTCTTGATAGAGCATGAAATACTTTTATAAGTTCTTGGGAAAAAATAGCTGTGACTGCTCTTACAGTTATTCCATAGTTGGAGTAAGTGAGGGTACTCTCTTTATTAAAAGAATAACTTGGTGTTTATTTTGAGCCTAAAGAATGTCACTGCAAACCTTTCACACACAGGAAAATGAGAGCACTTTTAATTCCTTTTCCCTTTCTTTTGTTTTGCAGGGAAGTTTGTTCACCCAGAAATACTCCAGCTTGTGTCTCTGATTAACACAGAAAGGAATAACAAAATAGCTGCTGCATCTCACCCACATTCCTGAGGTGTTTCTAAATGCTGTAGCTATAATAAATACTTTGTTTTACATTCTGTGCATTGTTTTCCACCTATTACGTCACTCATTCTGCCAGTAGATTTTTTTTTTCCTGTGCATTCACTGCTGAGAATCCCAGGACCACTTAGGAGCAGGTAGGATAGTTGCCTCCCAGATCAGCGGTTGTGTCAACGACCAAAGATTTAGAATGAGTTTGTTTGGGTTTTTACTTATATATTTTTTTTAATCAACCTGTGATTGATGTAGTCTCAGTTACAAATAGATTCTCCACTGGAGGAAATTCAGGTAAGTTTAAAATATAGCTGATTGCAATCCAATCTGTTCATGCAATGCACTGACTGGGACAAGTAGTCTTGTTCTGTGACTTCTAGGTACATATGGATTTAAGTACCTTCTGGGTCAATATCTGTTCACTGTGCAATACAGAAGCAAGACCAATGAGCACATTTCTCTAAAAGCTCTTGACAGAGCCAGACTGAGAGATGAGATTTCTTTGGAGTGCATGAGCCTTAAGAACTGATGGGGGATAAAACCAGTAAGCTCGTTAATTACATTTTCTCAATGCACTTCTTGTGTCATTCAGTTTTTCCATTGTTCACGTGTTGTATCAGGGACTGGTGCTGACACTTCTGTATTCCTGACTCCCCCTCACCCCAGACTGGCAATTTTACAGCCTCTTGCACAGGTGATTGATAATCACAGAATAGCTGTGGGTGGGAGGGACTGTTGGAGCTTGTGCAGTTTAATGCAAGAGCCTATGTAAAGCTGGCTCTCCCTTGTTCACGCTGTTACACGCTGATCCTGCTGTAAATGACAGCTTTTAGCAGAAGTAATGCTCATGCAAAAGTACATTATGGGTGTCAAGTAAAGCTGTAGTGGTGGTGGTAAATGCCATAATGAAGCCAGTGTCTGCACCATTAGCTGTTGTGTCAGGTGTGCAGCTGGAGATCAGGGCCATGTCACAATTACCACGTAATGGAAGTTTGCACCTGGAAAAATTGCCTGGTAGAGACCTGGAGCTAGCTTCTGTCTTCCGCCTCATGTCCAAGGAGGCAGCATAAAACTAAATTCAATTGTCATCCCCTTTAAAGGTTGGTAATTTTAGCATCTTCAGGCAGCATGACTCAGGAAATGTCTCCTTTATGCAGATCGCAGGGGCCCAACCGAAGCTTGTGCTGCCTTCTACAGCGAGTGCCTTTGGCTGAGGCTCTGAGTGCTGTGTGGAGCTGCTGGGAGCTCTCTTCTTGGTGGCCAGCACAGTGCACAGACTCTGCAGAGTGTATTGGCCCAGGTGAGATGTGGGAGGACTGCTCTGCTCAGGGAACCCCACAAGGCAGCAGTTGTGCCCTATGGAGCCCCTGGCAGAAGAGGCTCCACTTTACTGAGCAATAGGGAACTGATGAGTAGTTCTTGGAAGCTGACTCTCATACTGCAGGGGTGATGGAATGGGGCCTGCTGAGCTTCCTTCAGCACTTTTATTCCACTGAGATGTATACAAATCATGGCCTCTATTTGTTTGCATTGAATGTGGAACATGAAAGAGCTACAGATGCATTGGAAGGCAAAAACAAGAACATTCTTGACAAACAAGAAAAGTGGATTTTACAAGAAGTTTGATTGATAGAAATGCAGCACAAGCACTACCCCAGCAGGGACAGTCGGTCCCTTCAGTGTGGTGAAGTCTTAACCAGCTGGTAGTACCAGAGATGGACCCTCCACTCTGCAGGGGCCAGGGGATGCAGCGCTGAACCCCACTCAGCAGTGCAGTGGTGCAAGAACAGTAAATACTATCCTGGGAAACTGAGACTTGTTTTGAGTGTGCCTTGTGTGGTGTTTGTTATGTTTAAATAAATTCCAGCTGGTCCGTCTTGTAAAATTACATCCCCATCTACTCACTGCAGGTGCAATTGTGTGTCAGGTTTGGGCACTGCATTTTAGTAGCTATAGAGACTGGAGGAGAATGTGTGATCAGAAAGCATGAGCTGTGATGACAGGTTGAGAGAGAGGTTATCAAACAGCCTGTGGGAATTCAGGCTTCCTAATGCAGTACCCAAGTGTTCACGTGTTGGACAAGTGTGCTAGGTCTTAGAAAAGAGGAAATCTCCTCCTCCTCTGTCTTTCTCCCAATCTTCATATATGCATTGAGCATACACATAGCAGCAGCTGCTGTAATGACAATAAAATGTGAGGATTTATGTGGAAGAGAAGCTTGTCTGGCCATCTTGCCTCCACAAGCTCTTAATGAATGTAGTTTAAAGCAATGTACTGCTTTCCCAGAAGCATTTTTCTGTGTATGTGTGTATATACATACATAAATATATAAATAAAATGGTCTAAATTGGTGTCCTGTAGGAGGCGACAATGCTTGGTCCCCATGTTTTAACTTTGATTTGGCTGCTGGCCCTACTTAAAAGAAGGTAATAGTTTTAGACCTAAGTAATTTCTGCCATGCATTTCACTTTTACTGAACTCTGTTCGATCATTTTTCTCCTTTGACCCTCAACAATATTAAAACCTGGGGCACAGACTTCCATGGGAAATTTCAAGTCCAGAAGAGCCTGAATGGGTTTTTAAAACTGTAGGACTTAGTAGGCAGATGATGTTCTTGCAGTTTACCTTGACACACTGCAGTGACACAGTAATACTGGTAAATACACAGTTGAAAAGAAAACATCACAAAGTGTAAAAGAGTAAGAGAGAAATTTATTTTTAGTAAGAATATCAATAACTTCATTTACACAAACTAAGTCAACCATTAGTATCTTATTTAAATAACTTCACATTTTTGCACAAAACCACGTAAAATATGCTAGCCAACTGTCACAAGAAAACTGTACTAAAAAAACTAATTAGATTTGCTTCCATGCTAAAAAAACCACACTAAAGAGGCATTTGATACAAATATCCAAAGTTACATATGTCCAGTAGAACATTACGAATGGACTTCCAGCTTTGTAAAAACTATTAACAAAAGCCACACAGGAAAAAAAAAAAAATCACTTAAAGCCAAGTTTCCTCACAAGATTTTAAGCAGTCTGTAATGTCAAACTCACTAACACTGATTCAAAGCTTTGGCTTATGCTCAAAAAAGTGCATCCACTTTGAAAGTAGCCAGACTGTTTTCCATCTTGTTTGTACTTTATGGATAAACTTGTGCTCGTCTCAGTCTGGTGAGCTGAGTAACGCAACATGCAGACTGACACGTGCTCACTCGACAGCAAGAAAGCGTCACAAGCGCGCTGCTCTTTTTGTTAGAAAAAAACATGTTAAAAGGATGCAAGAAAACATGCTGAAGCAAAGCTGGGCTGGCTCCTGGTGATTAAGCAGATACAATGTAGGTGGTGGGATTATGGCCTGGAGTGAAGCACGACAAAATTTGACACCAGAAGTGAAGTACCTACTCATCCTGTGTGTTTGTAAGCTACAGGGCTATGGTAGCAGCTCTGAAACATGGATTGAAGGCATGGGCTCTCTAACCTATGGCACACCTTTGGCTAATTGCTGGGGTTGTATTCTTTCACTTAAGGCTGAGGCTCATAAATGTACCTTCCCTTATTTTTGAGGGAAAGATATGGAGGCAAAATTATCAGAGGTTCCCTCGGCTCCACTTCCCTTTAATTAACTTACAGTGTCAAGTCTTACCAAACCACAGAGAGCAAGCGATGGAACATATTTTTAAACTGAAATTTTTCCAGCTACAACGATCATCTAAAATCAGCAGCTGTGAGCAGTTCAGTTTCTGTATGAATAACTGGGTGTCTTCTCCTGTCCTCCTTAACTCCGCTGATTAATGGGTGCAGGGCAATGCCAGACTCTACCAGTGAAGAAGAAAAAACTTTCTGTGACAGTAAGTGATTTAATTCCATTCAGAAATAGATCCTGAGCAAAGGGCTCCTGGTATGGCTGGTAGACAGCTGGTATATGGACTACTGCTGGCAGCAGAAGTCTCTGCACAGCTCTAGGTCCATCTGTCTGATGTGGCACTGAAAGGGGAGTTGGAAACCAACAGATAGAAACAAGTGAACTAAGAAATAAGAAACAGAGACTGGGAGATTGTTGGAAGGAAGTTATGTCAAAATGAAAACTATTCTTTTGGTCACTTAACATAAAATTTAGAGCATCATAAGTCAACTTACAAAGTACCTGGTGATAAAGTGGCCCATCCAAAAGACAAACAAAGAGAGGCAATATTTCTCCAGCACAAGGCCAGGGAGGCAGTTTTCCAAAGCTGACAAAACCTTGTTGCACAAGTTGGGCAGCGAGGGAGGGAGGTCTAAAAATCACCAGCGGGGCAAGTCTCTGACGAGAGGTGTGTGAGGCTGCAGAGGGCCTGGGCTCTTAACACTGCAGCTCTTCCTCGCTCTCAGGCAGTCGGGTGCCAGCAAGAGAGCTCTGGGCACTGGCGTGGGCTGTAGAGCTGAGAACTTCTTCAAAACTGCCCCCTGTGTGGCTTGTCCCACCAACCTTGGTCTGAAACAAAGCAAGCAGAGAATAGCAAGTCCCATTTGCATTACATCCCATGGCTATGGAGGGCTGGCAGGTGTTCAAAGCAGGTGGAAAACACGTGGGCTTGGGTTTTTCTTAGAACAAAAGCTATAAAAGCAGTCATATAAAGCAACACCTTTCCTGCCCCAGTTTCTAAACTTCTAGGCTGTGATCATAAAATCTGCCAGTGGCATTTATCATATGTTTAAAGGAACCAGTCCCTAGGTAGATCCCCGTCAGGATCCTAGATCCTGCTAGTAAACTTAGTGCAGTTCTGTACATGAGCGGCTTACACTGGTTTCATTGTTTTTTCCAGTTCTACACAGGCTGGAGACAAGATGGGTATTGAAAAGAACTGGTCCACTTGCTGAGTGAAGTGGCCCATCTACCAGCAGTGGTAATGCAGCTGCTCTCAAAATACATCATGCAAACTGGGATTTTGGACAGCAGAAGGAACACAGTAACCAAAGAACAAAACCAGCAGCTTGTCTCCTTTTATGCACTTGTAGCTACCTGGGTACTGATATATATACTATACTGATACATACAACTGCCCACAGCATTTCCCTGTGGGGAAGGGGGAGGAAAAGGTAGCAAATTCCATTAGTGAAACATATGACAATGTCCTCCCAGGTCATCTACTTTCAAAATGCTTCAGTTTGCTGAATTTGTAAATTTAAGTATTAAAACCCAAAACCAATATAAGGAAATCTCCTTTGTTAGGAGTTTCCCTAAAAAGACAGAACTTCATCTAACGATTTGGAAAAGTGACGAAGAGACAAAGCAGTTTTGACCACCTTGCCTTGGTAAGCGAATGTTCATTTGTGGTTTGGCTTGCTGATATGCCCACTCGAAGTTGATTTAAGCCTGAAATTAAGGCAAAACTTTTTACTCCATCCCAGAATTGCAGCAGGACTTAAAGACAAGCTGGCATTTTTCCAGCCTGTCTGTCACCGAATGCTTAGGAAGATTATTTTAATTAAGTGAACTTTGTGTTTTAAGTTTCCAAAGGGTTAATCCTGTGTAATCCTTTGTTTCATCAGCTAGCGCAGGAGCTTGCCTAGCTTGAAATTTCAATAAAATAAGGTAGTAGTAGGCTTGGTATTTGCTCTGACCATTTGAGTCAGAGTTCCTAAAAGTTCCCATCTCAACAGGTAAAAGTCTGTAGCTGGAAGTACTACTGAAAGCCCTCAGAGTAGGTTTAGTAAATGGGTACAAGACGTGCTGCACATCTCCAATGTAGTTTCTTCTAACTTTGAGTGGTGAAAAAGAAAAAAAAAAAAATCTATTTCAGACCTCAGGTATTCCAATGAGCCGCATCCCTTATCTCTTCATGTTTCTTCTACCCACTGAGATAAGCAAGCGACGCGCTTGACAAGAGACAGGAGTTCAGACCTCCTGAGCTGATGCACTCCACCACATGAATGATTCCTCCTACAGTGAGGTCAAGTATTAGAAGCATTTGCAGCTACAGCAAAAAGAGTGAGTAGGAAGGTGTGCAGAGGCATGAGCTGGGGCTCTGGAGCTCTGTGTTGGGTTCTGGCTCCTTGGGATGCTCCTGATCTGCCCTGGGATGCAGCCACATGTAAAACTGCAATGACGTTTCCTTCTCTGACACAGTGCAATGCAGGAGATGACATTACCCTACAGTATCCTGACCTGAAGCTGTCAGAACAGCCTTTCACTAAATAAATGTGAGCATTCAAAAGGTGTAAATGATAAAGCAACTCTGCATTCTTTGATGGACATGCTTATTTAGAAACAAAAATAAATCAAGCTCTCTGCTGCTTACTTTCCCCAGACACTGACTGGAAAATTTTATCTGCTGTATGATTTCACAGTGGCATGGAAGAGACAGACCTTCCCTGTGCATCTGCTGCTTCAGTTCTAGCTGTAATTTGCTCTTTCTGTAACAAGGAACGTCCTTCTGCCCAAGTGGAAAGCCATTTTCTTGCCTTTTTAATGCTTTACAAGTTGTAACGCCCTTTGACATTAATCTGGTATTTTCAGTTCCCCCTAAAATGAGGGGTGATCACTTTGGCCCTTGTCCACAGACAGAGTGCACTTGCAATGTGATGACATCTTTCTATCGCAGCAAAGAAAGCGCCATTTGATGAGCACACTTGAGTTTATCTGATGAATAAGAATCATTAGGAGACAAACCCTCTTGTTCTGCTCTTTGATGTGCCTTACCATGCAGCACAGATTAGCTCACTGCAAATTTGCCATGCTCTGTCCTGCTGTGTAAGAGTCTTAACGAGTGCTATTAGCCATAACTGGTAACTTTGCCATCAGATCTTCCTGTCCCACAACAAATATGTCAATATTGTTTTGAAATTTTAAATCCACACAAGACACTGAAGTTGGAGAGGAAACACACCTGCAGGCTAAGAGCCACACAGGTAATGTGGATCACACCTGAGTTACATTGACAGCTCCCACCAGCTGAGTAAGAGGCACTTGGTGAGTACATCGCTGGTATTGAAAGGAGCACAGCTCAGGCATGGAACTTCACTCTGCAAGCCCAAAACTTGTGAGGCCAGTCTGCTTTCAAAATCTGACCTTGCATCTGCACATGGCTCTGCTTTGCACAGTACAATCCACCGTGGTCACACTTTAGGAGATGTCTCTGCTCACCATTTCAGTATGGCCATTTTTGGCATTTCTGAGACCATCTGTTTACTTTGGCAGATAAAAGAAGTAATTTCTTAGTAAAAAAGCAAAGAAAGACTATTTCCCTGCGTACTGCCTTAATGAAGCACTTCTATTAGTGCTCTTGCAGTTCCATTAAATTCTTGATGAAACAGCACATTCAGTCAGTGTCCAGTGCAAGTGACAGGGACAACTAAGCTGTCACATTTTAACACGTGTAACTTTGCTGCTAAGCTTTACTTACCTTAAGGCTTGTGACAGTGGTCTCAACCTTCTCCTCAAATGATTTGAAAGTTGGAGAATTCCTAGGAGAAAAAGAAAGTTGAAGGAAATAAGAGTCAGTTGCAAACGTAATGGGGTAAACTCCACAATTTAATCGTATTTTATCAATCAGCAATGCTAGGACAGGATGACGGCTGACTGGCAGCAGAGGCCATGGATTGATAGGGTATGAACAGTCACTTGTGCTCTGTCAAATCCAATTACTGTAATCGGATGAGTATTTTCTAGCTACAAATTTGCAAAAGCAGAACCTGCCTGGTAATTGAAACCAAACAGTGCCTGGCCTGCCTACCCTCCGATACATTGATCAAGTTCTCAGAAGAAAACCACAGAATGCTGGTGGTAGTGCTGCATTTCTGTGGTTTTATCCATCTGTGTTGTTGGTGTAATGTGGGTTTTTTTTCAGCTGATGAGCAAGTTCGTAATCTACAGTTCAGTGTCCTGATGCTCAGAGGATGGAGATTAGGACTGCATAGGAAGTAGATCCCAAATGCCTTTGAGGTACCCTGACCCCCCACTCCATGATTTTCTGACCACGGCTGTATCCCATTGCTTTCAAAGTCAAAGACTTAAGGTACACTTTTCCAAGGGTGTCCCTCTGACAAAGCTAAGCTTTTCTTTGCCTTTCACTAGTTTTGGGAAAACTGTGACTTGAACATATCTTAAAACAAACAAACAAACAAACAAACAAACGGCAACAGCTGTGATTTTCCTTCTTAAAGCAAATAAATTATTTGGTTTGCTGGCTTGCTCGACAACCTTGTTCTTTTTCTTTTCTCCCAAACTCAAAACATAGCTTCTCTCTCATTTGAAATGCATTCAATTTTTTTACATTTCTTCCTGCAAACAGAATGTACTGACCACAGAACTGCTGTGGTATATTAAGAATATTATGCATACACTGTTTTAAAGTGAGAGCAGGAGAGAGAAATTGAGGACTTACATTTGACCCATAAGTCACACTGGTGAATATTTGCCTTAAACTATCCACCTACTGAATCTGAATGAATTAGCATCCATCATATAGTTAGGAGATCTGTTTTCCCCACATGCTTGGCAGGGAGTGGAGATATTAATGTATTTAGAGGCTGGGGGAGTAAAAAGAAAGCTGGATCCTAATTTTATTGAAAACAGTCAGAGCTTTACTTGAACAGACATCAATATTTGGCTGCAGTCAAGTAAAGCATGATTATAGCCATTAAAATATGAAAGCACTCGTATAAAATCCCTCCACAAGAGCATGAGCCAAAGCCTGCTGGAGTGGAAAGCATCTCTGACGTTAATGGGCTTTGGATGACGTTCTTAAGACAGCAAAACAACTGAATTTCAGGTTCAGTAATACAAACCTGGTAACAATCAACTACCCAAACACATCTCAGAACTGCTTCATTTGCCCAAAGGCTTGTACAAGAGATTAAACAGTTAATACAATTAAAAGGAAAAAGACACAGATGGCCCATCCTGCAGCCCTCATCTACATGAATAACCTTAATTGACTGAAGTGAGACTATTAATCCAACTAAAACCAGCAGGATCAAGATCAAAGTATCTAAATCCCTCCTCGTTACAATGCTGAGCATGACCATAGCAGATTGAATATGGGTAGCACATTACCTCATCGCAGGCATGCTTATGGAATGGCGAATAGAGTAACTGTGGGATGAAAGCAAAAGATAAGGAAAAAAAGCTGTAAAATCCAGGTTGTGACATAATTATAACATATTTTTTAAAATTAACTTTAATATATATATATTTCCAAGAGTGCTGGTACCCTTCCTCTCCTGATGGCAACAGGTTGTCAAACTCATCTGTGAAATCCCGCTCACTTTCAGCACTGAAGACCATACCACCGCATTCTCATGTCAACTGATCAGCAATTTAATGGGATTCAAAAGAATGGTGCAAAACAGTTCTTAGCAACATCCATTTAAATGACACAGAGCCCTGCCATCTAGAGACATGCAACGTGTGACACAGGAACAGACAGCTACCTCTGGTAAGCTCTGTGTTGGGTGAAAACAGCGTGCTCAGTGTTGTGAACATAAGCAGAGGTGGCTAAGGCAGTAGGTAAGTAGGCAATTGCCTGCCTCTGTGGCATGTATACCATCCAAATAGCCACTGCTGGCCTCCCAACTTGTACAGGCTCCTGCACCACAGGCTACCTCAACAAGGGGTTTCTTCAACCAGAGAGGCAGCTCTCAGCTGCAGTGGTTGCTCCAGGATGTTTCATCTCCTCCTTCGCATCTCAACACTACGGAGGGTAGAAAGCTGTTTTCCACAGCTCTGGACCAGCTCTCCTCGTCATGCTTCCCTCCACAGACTTCCCAGCACAAGAATACTGGAAGGCTGGCAAGTGCATGACAGAGCCTCTGCTCACTCAAAGGTCCCCAAATCCTCCTGCACACCTTCAAGCCTGCAGATGGCCACCCACCCTCATGTCAGACACATTCTCCCCCCTGAGCCACCAAAGCCAACTCTGCTATCACAGCATCACCTATTTCACTGCTGGGAAGCATCAAGCCTGTTCTGAATATGAATCTGTATTTGCAGTTTAAGAACTGTCCATAAGTACATTTAGATCTAAACATTGTAAGTAAATTCTGCATGGCAAGCGCATGTATTGTTTCAAAAATCGCTGCTTTCAGTGGTGAGTGACAGCTGCAGCCTGCTCTGATTGAGAACGGGAAGAGCTTTACTTGAAGGGACACAAACATTTGGCTGCAATCAAGCAAAGCATGATTATAGCATTAAAAAATGAAAGCTCTCATGTAAACAGCACATGTGTTTGTTCTAAACTGCACAAATTCAGAGCAGCACTGTACTCATATACCCACAAAAGACTGGGTTTTTTCTTTTCAGATTCAAGATTCAGAAATGGGGGCGGGGAGAGAGGTAAGAGCTATTTGGCAAACAGGTGGCACAGAAAGATCTCATATGGCCTGTTTGCTGCTGTGTACATTTTAAGGCTTCAGCTAAACTCAGACAAGAGCCGACAGCAGACAATGTAAATGGTTCATGTTCCATTTTTCACATAACTTTTAAGACTTACAAAACATTATCCCACATTTCACAAGTGCAGCAAATCTAAAATCCTCATTAAATTAAGCAAGCATGCTTGCCATTTTAGTTTTGTAACACATGACAAATAGGCAAAAATAAGAATTTGGAAGTATTTCAGCATAGGCTGCCCCTCTTCTAAAAGCAAAGCATTACAAATAGGAAGGTCTAAGTAAGCAGATTACATTGTGCCAAATTAAATTCGCACAGCTGAGAGATGGCATGTGACAGACAATCTCAACTCTAAGCACAGATTTCACTGAGTTCATCTTTTAATTTCTTTAAAGAGGTAAGGATGTGAGTTGTAAGAACAGTGACCACATCTTCTTTTACTAGAAGGCTGAAACATGAAGCTTTTTTAAAGACGCACATGTCTGTGATGGTGATCAGTGCAGAGGCAGACTACAGAGATCCTTCATGGTAAAGGTCGCTAAATACTACATTTTGGTTTCATGTCCAAGTGAGATAAGGTCAGCCTATGCCCCATTTTGAAGTTTTCTTAGTGAATTAAGAGCCCATGTTAGGCTTACTTAGCTGAACAGTAAAACTGTTCTTGATCTGTGCCATGCACTGGCGATGCTACAAGGCCAGAGGGACTGCAGGGGATCTGGGGCAGTTCAGCCTCTCTGCTCGGTGTACTGCCATAAAGCCAGGCGGCTTACAGAATCTTTGAGCACACAGAAAATTGTTTTATAATTCATCATACACTGAAGTGCTTTGCAGCATCAACAAATTCAAGCTCTAAATATAAAGAGCCCCTTTAATCATGTTGGGACTTGGTCTACTATTGGAAATTTCCCCAGAACTCCAGACTTTCTAAGAGTCACCATGTACACTTCATGACTAACATACTTTTGCTTTAATGAAGAGGAGATAATTAAATTCTTTATACAATCTCCAAAAAACTCTGCTGGCTGAATAAAATTTTCACTGAGCATTTCTGTTTATGTTCCAACCTCTGACAGAAGGAGATGGTTGAGAGAATGGGTTTACACAGAAACACGTTCTCCCAAGAGCAACATCTTCTGAATGTGTTCATTATTTGAACTTGAGACCAATCCACTCAAGAGCAAGGCAAACACACTCTATCCACTTAGTCCAGTCCTTTCTTCATTATACTCACCACGCTGCAAAAATAAGGCATTACAGTGTAAGTAGTATATGTTTTTTCACACTTAACAATGCTGAAAGCAAAGAGGTTACTGCATTACATTCCATAAAACAAATCCTGTCAAACACAGAGGCAGTATTCAAGGAATGTGTCTTACCCAATTGAATGCGATCTGTGGTGGATGCACAAGGAAAGAAAAGCAAGAGTTAAAAGTATTATGAAAATGTAACAAAAATATACATCTGTAGCATGTCAAACCACCTGAGGAGAAAAAATAAAGTAATTCACATTTAAATCTTGATGGTGGAATTCACACTAGAATGTGGATCAGCTGATATTCCTTCAAAGCAAAAATTTTCACATACTCCTTCACTACGTAGTCACCTGTTCTGCATGCAACGAGAACTTTTACCTGCAAAACTTTGTATTTTCATCATTAGATCATATTTAAACAATTAACTGTTTTCCCTCCCGAAATCCTTACCTTAGTCTCATTAAAGTATAGGTGAATTGGAATTGTACACACACATCAGTAGCAAATGTCTCCCCCCCGATTTGTTAATCATCTCTCAGTTGAGAGGGGTATGGGGGAAAAAAAAGGAGCTTTTAATGACTAAAATGACATTTTCAGAAATACTTCTTGTTAAAACAATACTTGAAACACTTCGACACTGTTTTCCAGCTCACAGGAAATTAATTAAGGCAGCAGCGCTGGGAGAGGCACACTGCTATATAATATTCAAAGGCTGTCATTAAGGTTCCAGTGTCAGGAAATGATGAGGCCGACAGCCTCTCCTTCATCTGCATGTTATTGATGTAGTCTTTAATTACAGGCCACTTCAAGGGAACACCTGTCTCACGCAGTGAGCCAGAGAGATGGTGCACGCTTAATGAACATCTCTTCAATACTTATTTCTCACATCCTTTTTTCAATGTGTGATGCATTATTTACTGCACGATATTCATACCTTGCTCTGAAGAAAAGCACTGATTTCTTCAGGGTTATTTACAGGGCTCATCATCCTGTATATTGGAACTTCTCAAACATTCGTGGATTTATCTTCATAACACATTTCTGCGTAGAGCAGCTTAAGCAATACTGTTGCCATACGTAGCCCCCTTTTACTACCTGCTGACTCCCAGTACCAGCCACCCCCTTCTCCATCCTAATACAGACACTTGTACAGATATACAATAACAAAATGTGTTACTGCAGAGCTCTGAAAAATCAGGACAAATGAAGGGGCGAGTGTCAGCAGAAATGAGAGAAAACAACTGCTCCAGTCATCAGCAAAAGAAATGCTTACGAAATTACATTCTGAAACAAGACTATTTCCTTTATAGAGGATATTGGAGACACAGAGGTTTAAGAATTATAGTTTTGGGTATGACAGCTATACTATATCAAGTATTTCAGCTCCCAGTGAGTTCAGTAACAGTTTCAAGTGTCCAGAACATCCCTAGATCACAGGAGTCCTGGAAATGCACAGCAAAAGGCTTTGCAAAAACTCCACCCCCCCCCCACCAATAAAAAACCCAAGAAGGCACACAAGAAGAAAGGCCCAGCAAAAAGCAACTCGCATAGCACTAAGGCAGATTAATTATACCTGAGCCATCTCCAACAGATATTGGCCTAACCTGCTTCTAAAACCTTACAGTGAGATAGATTTCACAGCCTTCAGAAATAGTAATGCCCCTGTTCAGCTGCACTTGTGAGCCACCAGCCTAGACCTTACTGGGCCCTTACCTGCAAACCTGGCCAGTCAGTGCTCCCCATCTCTGCTTCTGATTTTTTCCATCTGTCAATAAAGCACCTTGCACTCTCCTACAATGAATTTTATTTTATCATTCAAAATAATGCTGAATTCCAATCCTGGTTTCTAAATGGCTTACACTCTCTCCCACTGCAGTCATCTGGGGATTTTAAGTGTACACACGATGTCATCATCTAAACCGGTAATGAAAACGCTGAGGAGTAACAGACTTAGGACACATGCCTGCAAAATTGTGCATTATGGTGAGCTCCTGAGACCTGTTCTTTGAATATAATTTGCAACTCCCTATGCCCACTTCATGCTAGCAATAACATTTTAACTGTATTTCTCTACTTCTGCAAAAACAGCACAGACAGCCTTATCAAAGTCAAGCTTTATCCCATCTCCTGCCTCACATCTGTCCTTGATGACAGGTGCTGTCAGTTCAAGATAATTGCTCTTGACAAACCCTTTTTATGGTTTTGCCATCGTGCTATCTGCTAGATGCTTAGAAAATAATAGGTTAATGCATTCCCCCAGTATCTGCTTTGTATTTCCTTGAACTTCCCTTGATCCTTTCCAGAGAGATGAACTGCTATGAAATCTGTAACTTTACCTTCCACCACCCCTCAGGGACCTCACATGCCTCTGTGCCAATTCCCATAATCTCTGAGGGGCACATTCAGCTGCCAGAGTCACCCCCAAACTCTCCCTCACTCTGTCTCTTTCCACATGTGCCTTCCAACTCCCGGCAGGAATCAAGCATTATGTTACCTTCATTCATCTTCAGAGCTGGCTCGTCCCAGCTGCTGAATTTGAAAGGGCTCTGTCCAATCATGTAATTAAAGAATATGTAAAAGACAGTTGAATGAAGGATGTATAAGCAGTATAACTGCTGACATCCTAATTTGCATGCATGCCTTTGTTAGCTTAATCTTCAAACACATTTACTTATGTAGTAGCAATGTATGTGGTGGTGTGCATGTAGTAGTGTAGTGTACATAGTTTTCCTTTTTTTTTTTTTTAAGGAAACAAAAACCCCAGAACATCTCCCACTTGCTATCACAACTAAAAGGCCAGTTTCAGGTCATCGGCAGGGCTGAAACTCTTAGATCCACATAGACAGCTGCAGCGTAGTCCAGCAGCATTGCCTGAAAAGATCCAAACTTTACCTGTATGCAAAGGAGAAAGGGATAAAGACCCTCAGTTCTGTGTCACATCTGTGCTCTACACAGCAAGAGCCACACTGAAATGTAGTGTAACCTCTATTTCTGGGAGATTTGAGCCCATGCTACTGCCCTCTGAGTGGCCTGGGACTCCCCTCTTCCCCTTTTTATGCCTTCCTTCTCCCTGTCAGAAGATGTTAAACAGTATGAGTTGGGGGTGGAGGGGCAACAAAAAAATCCTGATGGCTTATCATTAATCACAAGAACTATTCATGAAGGATCTGTTATCTTTACTACTACTGGTGCCTGGTTTGTATCCTAAAGCAAAAGTACCTGTACATTCTTTTCATATGTATTTCTGGTATTTCCAGTAATATGATAATATTAAACAGAATGCATTGCAGCTGTAAAGAGATCTTACAAGCACTAACAATTAATACAAAAATTAAAAGATGCAAAACGCTAGCGATTACTCATGTACAAAATGAACTAGAGACTTGTAACGCTGGGAAGCTGGGGTGGGGATGAAAGAGAAGCAGAGCAGCTGCGTGAAAAGCACTTTGTCCCCAGAGGGTGGCTTCTCTGTTCTTTGGGACACGTGAAATTTTGTCATTTTTCTTTCTTGTGGATTTCATCTTCTTGAATTCTAACACAGCAAAATAGCACATTTGGGGGAGTCTATGTAGCCTGTTGCTGACATACAATGTTTTAGTAATATTTTTAGAGATAATACAAGGTGAAAATTAAGACCCTGCATCTTCAGAACAGAAATCTGTGTTTCATGTGGTGTTCTGTACAGCTGAAACAGCAGGCAACCTGGAAAACAGAATTTTGTTTCACAAAGAAGGCGAGCTTCAATATTTAGAGTCAGACTAAAACTCCTTTCAAAATAACCATTTCCACAGGCAGGGGGTAAAAGCCAAACACACTCAACTGCTGAACATACTGGGAATTATGATGATCATCTGGATTTCAGGAATCAGTTTCAAGTGTCTGCTCTGAATGGAAGCAGAACAGGGATTTGCAGTGGTGACTCTCAGCCTTAATGCCTCACCAAGAGAATTAAGCCAGAGTCTGATGTGTGTTTAAATCACTGTTATTGGAGAGGCGGTGATAATCCATATACTAGATCACTGAAATAAAATTATTTGGATTCGCAAAAAAGCAAGCAAACAATGAAACAAAAATGCATGCCTCCTCACAGCTTGCTCCCCCAAACGCAGCTGGCATTAGAGTGGGAAAGGGGAAGATTTTTAAAACCAGGTCACTTAAGTGACAAGGTTTCACAGTGTGAACCCACACAGAACTACATCTGCCCAAGATGAGCCAAGATCTCAGGCCAGCTTTGTTGCTGACCATTACTCTGGATTTAGGATGCTCAGAAGATGCAGAAGGCCCAAGTCATGCCGTGCTTTATGTACCAATGGGATACTGGCTATACCCCCTGCTGCTTCAAGTGTCAAGAAAACTCTTCTAACTGAGAACTTAACTGAAAACAGTAAGTGTCCACAAAATGTGGCAGCGCTGGTAATCCATATTTTCCTGAAAATATACCAACCAGGTTCAAGGTAATAATTTTGATCAAAGAAAGTTTCTAGAAACAACCTTCTTGATTAATCAAAATGCTTATGGACTTAGCCTCTGCTTTGAGCCCTTGGTTAAAGGGCTAATGGCTTAAATACCACTCATCTGCTTTCCAAGCACTAGTCAGAAGCATGATCACCATGAGGCTAGGGGGTGGTACTGACAGGTACGACAAAGGAATTTGGTAGCAGTCATTAACTAAGAGAAATATTAAAGAACATACATGCGCTATTACAGTGAAGACACTTCTGCCTTTGCAGCACAAGCAACAGGACCTGAGAGGTACTCAACTGCTAGAGTCACCCTTCCCTCTGCGATCAAGAGCCAGTGCTCATGGTATTTGCACACCAACAATCTCATCGCTGTTGTAGGATCTAAAGCATGGAAGCAGAAACAGGACCTGCTCACTGAGCATGGGTTTGCCTTTGTTACAGGAGGAAGTGTTAAGAAAGAACAGAAAATTAAAGAATATATGTTGGTGCCACATGCAGCTGACTCATCACATGCATTTCTCAAAAATACAGTATACATCTATATGCAGGGAAGTCAGTAATAATAAAAGTAGGAAAAAGGCTTGTGAAAGCAACTCAAGCTCAGAACAGAGGGAACTAAGTGAAATATGATAAAGCCACAGGAAATCATGAGCGACATGAAGGACAGCAGAAGGACTACGCTCACTGTTTCCTGTAACAGGAGAGCCAGATGGCATCACAGGAAAGACCAAGGAGACTCAGTTTAGGGAATGAATGAATGAACAAATGAGCCACTCATTTCCCTACCACATAACTATCTGTTCATCTGGGGAGGTGTTATGAATGTCAAAAATGCTTACAATTTATAATCAAAAGAGACAAATTCATGAGGAAAAACCCTTCAAAAACTTTTAAATGAAAGCTCAAACCTATGTTTTTGAAAGTTTTCAGCTCTCAGATTGCTGAACGCTAAAATAAATGCACCTGCATGACTTATTCTTATATCATTTTCTAGGCATTTACTATCTATGGACTTTTAACTGTATCATGTCAAACAAATCTTAGTTTATGATCATACCCTAGTTGCAAGTCACTCACTAGACTTCCATTTTAAACTGCAATGTAGAAAAAAGCATTGTAAAGGAGTCATACAGGTATGAAGATTTTCATTTTTTAGTTTCACCTAGAAAAACTGTAGTACTTCTGTAGAGGGTTTAAGCAAGCTGTATGTAAAGGTAGGAATGAAGGAGGGACTCTAAAGATTTCTTAAGATTCAGACTAAAAATTTAAAAAGTGGAAAAAAAAAGTTTTAGCTGGCAAGAACTATGCTTCAGTCATTTCCAGTTAAAGACCCGTACAAATGTGAAATACTGTAAAACAGATACACACAGCTCTTAGGATATGGTTACCTCATACATTACAAAATGACCAAAAACGTGAGCACGTACTAATCTCTCTAATAAATGAGACTCTAATTCTGCAGCTCAAACAATATATTGTAGAGTTAACCCATGCCCATTTATTTCATCACCAAAAAATCAATTCCCTCATACACCTGAGCAGAAGTTCTGTAGTCCTGCTACCAAGTTGATATCTGAAGTGCTGGTTTACAGTGTACAACTTCTTTTATGCTCTTGTTCTGAGGAACTGCAGAACAAAACTTTGCCTTTGTGCACCTTGAAGAAGCTGACAAAAAATAGCGTGAAGTATTTCTTTTGATTAATCTTCCCATAAGCAGCTCCAAGGCAGGCTTGTTTTCTTCAGATAATGTTGGCCTCTGGAATCCATGTATGAATAAAACTGGTTTAATAAAGCTCAAGGAAACCTTGAGCTTTCAAATTTATTCCAAAAGGATTTCAAGTGCACTGCACTTATATTTTTTTAAGGCAGGACTCAAATAAGAATTATAACCTCCTTCACTGTTATCCCTTCTTTTTAGTGACACAATGAATGTTATAAAACACTCCACAATATAATACAAACTTCTTGAACCTTTAAAACACTAATGTAGAAGGAAAAGAAGAGCTGACAAACGACTTATACTTTTTGTACTCAAAATAAGGCCAGAGAAGCAGCAGATTGCTATACCTCATATCTCCGAACTTCTTGCTGATAGCAGTTCCTACATTGCTGATAGCAGCTGTTGCTTTTTGTCCTGCATGGCTCAGGGTCTCATGTGTTTTCTTGTAACTGCAAACAAAAAACAGAACAGAAATAGTGATAAATATTTAAAAAGAGAGGCTAGAATCCCCTGCAATTAATTAACTTTTCCCTTATTTCCACATCTTAAAGTCCCGTCCACTGAGTGGTTAAGAAACTTAGTAACTGTAGCACAAAACAAATTACAAAGATGCGCATGCACAGCTTCCTAAGTACAGCTTAATCTTAATGTGAGCAGAAAGCTCTCCAGAGAAGTCCTCCGTGATGCCTCTCCTCTTTCCAGATAACACCCCTTGAGTGGGTCAGCATAAGCTGTTTAAAAGTAGAATACAGTGATTTGTTGAATACTTGTTTGATACAATTTCTGTAAATTTACATCAAATAAGCATTTGTGCAGCAGACACTGACTTAGTAGCAAAATCTGCTGTCTAAAGCACAGAACAGAATCAGGACATACACAAGTCTGCTCTTCCATGCATATACACATTAGGTACATTTAAAAAACACTTTAAAATTATTTGTTGATAGTTCAAATTAGACAAAATTGATCAAATCTGTTTCCATATGCTACAATTCTACTTTTTATAAAATTTCTTTAAAAGGAGAATGTTTTAGGAGAGACAAAGAAAGAAAGATGAAAAAAATCTAGACAGTGAATGCACATTCTAAATAGCACTGAATCCTTTTAGAAGTCATTAATTTCACACATAGCATACAATTCAAACACAGAATCATCTTAATTTCCTGATCCGGAATACAGGCTCTGACCCACATAGACTCTTCAGTACAGTTAAATTGCATTCTCGGAGTAATCAATAAGCTTTTCTGCACAGATGCTTTTTTGCTGAGTAAACCAACTCTGAGCATGTCAGAGGCTTCCTTCTGAGTAAATTATCTGATACTCTCAGTGATGCAGACAGGCTCAGAATTAGAATTAGAAGTACTGACCTAGTAACAAAAGGAGAGCACATTATAATCAGTCCTGTATCCTGCGGTGTGCATTGGCAGACAAGAACTGAAGAAACGATCACGAAAAATTCAGAAATACAGTTGCACTGGTTCCAATTCTCCTTTGAACAAATTCTGTAAGATTGTAAATGTGTACCAAAATATACTGGAGTTTAATAAGAAAAAAATTCTACTGCCTAATTCCTGAAACAGAGTATTTTCTCCTTGCTTTGAGGTATATGAAAGCAATATAACTTTGTGGAGGCAGGAGAAATAACAGAAAATTAACATTTGAAAGACAGCACATCACATTTTATACCGGGTCCTTTTACCCTTAACAATACCTATTGCTGAAAGTCCTCTGGTGAGGACTGTTTTACAAACCACAGGTGAGAAGGCAGATACCAAGTAATGCTCTATTCTTTCAAACAATAGTCTATGAACAGTTATTTTTTCCCCCCCGAACACAAATACCTAAATTTTAGGTTCCTAAACCACAAATTATCTTACAGACTACTGACCTAAGTTCTATAATTGCCAAGTGAAATGGCTTCTTCTATAAAGGTGCTTGTCACTGACTAGAAAGGCAGTCTACAGGGAGCAACTTAGACCAGGGTACCAAATCTCTAGAAATCTAGTTAGATACGCTGAATCCATCAGACGCACAATGCTGAATGATGACAAGGGCTAAAACATTGCAACAGTGACAGAAGGAGCACAAGTTATAATTAGAAAGGTAGGAGCACTGGTTATGCCTGCTTTATTTCTTCTGGTGGAATACAAAGATGACCAAAAAGATTGGTTTCACTGGGTATCCTTTCTCCTCAGCCCCGCTGTCTGTTCCTGGACATAGGAAGATTGCAATGCTCTTATCGTAGTGAGGCCCTATTCTCACCCTTAACTAGTTTAATAGCCCTGTCATTCTCTTGTTGTCAGTGGACATACTCTCATATAAACTAGAGTGGGATGAGATCCTAAAATAGACATGAATGATGCTTCAGTCAAACTATGAGCATGCAGCTTTTTTGTAAGTGTTGCCTATGGAAAAAAAAAATCAAATATTCTAATCCCTGTGGAGATACATATATATATATATATACACATGGACATTATGTGTGTGTGTGTGTATACATATATATAGGCATTAATATCGGGCATTTCTTAAAAGGCCTACATTATTGCATACAAGTCTTCAGGCATTTTCTTAACAGAGAAGTTTCCTAAACCATTCAGCACAAGTGGAGTTTTGCTGATGACAAAATGAAGTCCAAGACTTGACTTCCAGGTCTAAAAGGTCCTGGAAGCAGAATCTATTTATATATAGGTTGACTGTACATAGTAAAATACTTTGCAGATATCATTCTGAACTAATTTTTTGAGGAAGACACCTTGGAGTTAATTTTATTCACAGGCATGTTTAGCTTTAAGTAAAAACATCTCCATGCCTTACCTTTCTGCTGCAGGTTCTTCACACAGTGTAAAACTGTTAAGAGGGTTGTCTCAAATCCCCCATATAGCAGATAGACTCAACTTTAATTGAGAAACATAAGAGTCCTGCATTTATTTCTGAATATTGCACTGTCAGAACACACACTCTGGCATTCGCTGAAACGACACTGATTTTTGGCATTCCAAATAATCTGGTGCTTTCAATGTAAATTCCATAAACCTAACATCCACCCCAGTATTTCTACTAGCAAGGAAGACACAGAGACCGCATTTATGTTTCTAATGCTTTTGGCATTGCATAACAGCATAAATCCAGCTAAGACTGTTACACAACTGGTCTTTTTTCAGCACCAACTTCAGCAAAAATGACCTTTGACATGAATCCCTCCTCCCTTCAGCAACGCTGAAGAAGAACAAAGGTAAAAACACAGAGCAACACGCGATACCTGCCAGCAAAGACAAGGAACAGTAATTTGCATCTTAGTAGAGCTCACTGCTTAAAAATCAAGCCTCTCTCATGCCTGTCTCTCCACCATCACGCATATGACTATGCCTTCTTCATAAATAAATTATCTTTCCACAGAGCACATTGTCCTCCTGTATTAGGAGGAGTTATGCTAATAACTCAGTTATGTTATGCTCTGTATTTATATACAGCCCAGTCAGTTATGCTGTATTTACAGCATTCATTTGATACTTTGCCAAACATTCTGGTAACGGTGATCTCTTCACCATGTTCTCTCTGACCTCTGGAAATCTTCTCAGTCGTATTATTAACCTGAGCCAGCAGTTTTCACATCCTCACGTAACACACACCAGTTTGCGGTTCTGTTTTAATGCCCTGAACAGCTTACATAAGTTTCAAAACCTTTATGAGTAGAAATAAAGTTGGATATTCCAGTTAAGACCTACAGATACTTATTCCTTGGGAAAAGTGCTGTATGTATGGCTTAAGTCCTTCTAACACCAGCACCTGCTCCAACATGCTAAGTCATCTACGATACCTGCACACTCTCATCCTTGAAGCATGTACTGACACCCCTAAATTTAACAGCATTATGCCAGATGCCCAGTAGCATTAGCTAAAGTAGAAGCAGGCTACTAGATTTAAAAAGAATGCCTGCTCTGATTTTGCTGCATATAAACATGCTCCATAGCACAGAAGAATTGCTGGTAGTGGCTAATATATTCCATGTTTTTCACTTAGCACTTAACAGTAAATATTTATAATGTATTTCACAGACACTAAACATAAAACAAATATGGTCTGTGAACTGCTGTCACAACTATAAACTTGTAAATAAAACTCACCTGTGTCATATTGAACATTATCTTTTTATGACATAAACCTAAGAATTTCATCCATCAACTTCCGATTAGAATTTATTTTAAAATAGGGTATATATTTAACAAAAGCAATTGTTTATAAAACTTAGAGGTTTTCATAAAATATGCTGCCATTACAGTTATATTCTGGTAATATGCCCAAAACATTTAAAAGAAGCTTTAAAGATAACTCACATCTCCAGTACTGTAAGATACTAATTAGGCAAAGTAGGTTTGCAGTATATTTTGACTGTTTTTTCACCTGACAGTTCCATATACTGCATTTAGGTTGTACTATCGTATGACAACCAGGTCTCACTAGCTGATTTTTACAGCCAGTGAAAGCAAATGAAGGAAGACACTGTTTCATAAAACAGAATGTGCAAAGGAAATAATGCTTCATATAGAGTACAGCCTGGCAGTAAGCATATACAGAGGTCAGATAAGTAGATGTTTAAATGACCATGATCTCCAGGATAAAAGAGGATAATCATACTGCATGCTATTTGATCTCATCTCAACTCAGTACAGAATTCCCCTTCACATCTAACTTTCCTTCACAGGTGCAACACCTGGGCTGCTGACAGAAGTAGGTTACAAATACCATATTCATATTTTGCATGGCAAGCTGCACATTCAACCCAACACAGTAAATCATAAAAAAAATTAAATTCAGCTTCTGTGAAATTAGTCCATCTGCTAATTAGTACATCTTCATTCAGCATTGTGCCTCTCCAACAATGCTTGCTGGCAAAATTAATCCATTTGAGAACCCCTCTTCTGTGATAAAGCTTACATAAGATGCAACAAAATGCAAACAATTAACAACACAACCATACAGTAGAGCAGAGCCTGGCAGCACAACCCATGCCCTATGGAGCTTGCTTCTTTTGAGTTTTCAAACCATTAGTCAGCTTAAGAATGACATTTCTGTAACCAATGTAAAGCATCTGGATCTCTGAGAAAACCTGTGCTAGAGAACTATTATTCTGTCGATTTTCTGTGAAAAACAGGGGTCGGCATTAACTAAATTATACCACTGATTAAATGAAGTAAATGCATATATAAATGGCAGATAACTTGTACATAAAGCATTCTCCAAGAGCATTCATATTGCCATTTTGCCTACAAATTAACTCTAAGGTAGTGCAGAGTGGTTTTGGTTTTGTTTCTTTTTTAGTGCTCACCTGAAATTCATTCCAACTTCAAAAACAAACAAAGCCAGATACACTTTTTTTAGACATTCTTCCCTTTGTCAGGTACATTAAGAATTAATAGCAACTGTGCTGGCGCTTGGGTGGGTACAT